ACTGATTGCACTTATAATTTTTGGTAAGGATCAGAATTCACTACCCTATACAATTCACCATACATACACTTCAAAACTAACCAAAGAAAAACAAGCTTGAGTCTCGAATTAATTTCAAATGTTTACGTATGTATATTTTGAAACCCAATGATTTTATAATTTATTAAGTATTTTTACTTCAGTGCAGTACCTGCATAGTGTGCCTTCTGCTCACTGCATGTCATATACATATTAATAGAATAATTAAAATATTTAACTTTTTAATTTATCACAAACAATTTCAATTTTAATAACATACATTAAAAAAACTAAGTTAAGAACATTAGAACAAAAGGATAGGTAAGTGACAACGAATAAGTTGAATTATGAACAAAGGTTCACTGTACAATTTTCAGTTAAAACATTCATACTGCAGTTTTATTTCCTTTGTGCTGGTCATTATTATTTTATTTTTACAAATATTTAACATGGTTTATAACATAACTCATAATTTATTTCAAATTATTATTTAAAAAACAAGCATCACTTATTATAGCACATAGAAAATATTGTACAATAATTCTATAGCGACTTCCAACGTATAATTTAACTTCATTAATTAATTTAAAAAAAAAAATTTATTATTACCTACCCGGTTCATTGTGACGTTTATATTTTTAATAACAAAATATTAAAAGTATTTAAAATTATTTTATAAACTATGCATTTTCTCTACTAACTTCTATCTAATTATAAAAATTACTTTAATGTCACCTGATACGCATGACAAAACTATTCAATTTAATTTATTTAACATCATTATGACGTCAAGATAAAATATATAACTCATTTGTACGTTAGAGCCTTAGTGGTACCTACCTAGTATACAAATAATTAATAGAACTTAAGACATAATAAAAAATTAGGTGTATACGTGTATTATATATTATATCCTATACCTAGTTAAAGTATGCAACAACATTTGTATTAGACTTTTTTTTAATCATTTTTAATTTTATTAGGCACGACCAATTTGCATATGAACAAAAACGTTTACATACGATATGTACCTATAGATATCTACGTGATTTAAATTCTAAATAGAAGCTTTTTTTGGTTTAATAACAATGAATGATTTTTATTTTAGGAAAATACCTTAAGTAACTCAGAGAGAACAATTCCCACACTTGGAACTGCATACCCGTATAGATTACCTTTATTTTTTAACGTAATAATAACTAATTACTGTATGTATAAGTAATTTTGAAAGTCCGGTACCATCTGCACCAGAGGAATTGACTCAGGCTATTAATATAATGCATTCACAGGTTTCTTTTACATAATTTAATGAATTCAGTATAGTCAAAAATTGTTTCGCATAAATTCCAGTGCAGATAAAAAAATCAATTTGACATACTTTGTAATTACATATTATTTAAAAGTTTAAACATGTAACTATAAATTATTTTCAAATAGTTTTATAACGGCATAATTTTTAAGTAACTGTATCCTCAGCTATTTAACTGAATGGGAAATAGTATCTTTAAAACCTTATACATATTACATTTTACCACACACTACTCCCCTAATAATTTACCCCAGATTACGGTTATGGCTAACGTACAAAAGTGCACAATAATACGTACATTTTTTGATTGGGAGAATTGAAGGATATTTATATTTGACCTTTTAGCTGTACGCCAAAGTTGGATGGTGGATACCATACGTCATGACCAGTCTTTTTTTGGAGAATTATATTATTGATTGGCAAGGGATGATTTATAATAGATATTAGTAGTAGTTATATAGAAGTATATCATAGATGTGACTATAAATTTGATTTTGGACATTTTTATCTTTATTCTCAAAAGTTGGGGCCAGTTTTGGAGATTCAATAGATGATGGTCGTTTATATAATTGAGGGGTGATTAGTGTCTGATGGGAAGAAATTATAGCTGTATCATCAGCAAAAGTAGCAAAATGAGCATCATACGAGTGTGGTATATCAGAGAAAAAAATGTTATTTTTAAGGTAAGGCTAACAAACAAATATGACGTAATAATTTCAATACCTTTGCCCTTTGATTGTTATTGTTTGAAATAAAACTATTAAACCGAGAACTATAAAAGTAATTTTGACAAAGGTTTAATAAAATATTTTAAATAATATAATCAAAAATAATAGGCCTAACCTATAGGTAATTTAGTACTTTTGCAATTTTAGAAGTTTTAAGTGGATGTTTTTACATATTTTGACAACTTGAAATACATAAATGAATGCATATTAAATTGCTTGTATATTTTTAATAATGATACTAAAAATGTGAATTATTTTACCACTTCAACATTTTGTACATTTCAATTTTTAGCTTTTGAGAAGAGCGATGAATGTATTGATTTTACAATGAACTGTGATTATTTTGTCTGTCATCACTTTTTGGATCAGTAAACATGCTTTGACTTTCAACATCAATATATTTTCTGGTATGAATGTGAATCTAGTCGGTACCTTTTGGAGAGTTAAGAGTAAACAATTCCCAATACTTTTTTTGATAATAATTATTGGGACAACCCAAAAAAATAGGAAAAACGAGAATATTTATGCAAATCAGTGTTTGACAAAATCATTTTTCCTATTTAGTTGCCACTAAGCACAAAAACTAAAACCGAAGATACTTGAAATTTTCACCAAATCATAATAACAAATCATATCCGTTAAAAATTACCTGAAGTAAGTATATTAATTGGTTTAGTGGAGGAAAATAATTTCAATCAGGTAAATTTGTAAGGCTATACATTGACTACCTATGTTTTATAACAAAAAATCAATTATTAAACCTACCAAATCTGGTTACCTACATGTTTACGATTACCCAACACTTTATTCTACATAGAATTTCTATTTGTCGTGATGTTATAGGTATAAACTATTTTTCAAGTGACTTACACGATCGCATTCACGATTTGTCCACTTGGTTGGCAAAGTATCAATTTTCAGAGTTGTGGCTCAATACGTCGCACAACTAAGTTGGCAGGCTTAGGCGATACCGCAAAATTGTGTAAATAGCGTAAGCATTAAACTACCCACAGCCCTCCCCCTTCATCAACCATACGCTGTACTTCAACAAGTCGTACAATTTCACATTTATGTCTGATTAAACTTCAAACGAAAATAAATATATAATATATATATAATAATTTAATATATTATAATTTTTGTTTAATGTTCAGATTTTTTATTTGACATTTTCAAAAGCTGAAAAACAGCAATTAAATTGTTTTGAGAATCTTGAACTACCAAAAAATATTTTTGGTTATAGTTTAATTTCACACTCAATAGAACATACAAATTAAATATTAGATTCAGTGGAAACGCGAAAGATTAATTGTTATTTGTCGTCGTTATTTATTGTAATGTAAACTATCGCGCTATCTGGCGATCAACTTAGCGAAAAATCGTACTTTTTGGCTTAATATTTTCAGGTTGTTTAACAGAGATAAAACCACATAAATTAGCTAAACCTACTCGTTTTATCTAATCTAGAAAATAATATTAAACACTTACCATTTTTATCTTTTTTTCCATCATCGGGCTAATGACGCACAAATGAGACGTCTCTCTATAAAAAAAAAAATATATATATATATATATATATATATATATATTTATATATATATATGATATTTACATGATATTGATAATTGGACATAAAATATACTGATTAGAAATATTATTAATAACTTCTAAAACAATATTAATAGATTAAATAAAATATAATAGCATTAAGCCCATTATTTTTAGTTATATGCTGCATGTGAGTTGTAGATTGGCAATTTTAGATAATTGCTGATAAATAGATAATTAAGTTTAAGCTTTTGAAGTAAGAATTAAAATAACATTAAAAGGCAGAATTTAACAGTGGTACAATTAATATGTTTTCTAAAATGTATCCAAAAAAACATAACTATAGATAAATATATTATTATACATGTTATTAGGTATAAAATGTATATCAACTACAAACATTTAAAACTAGGTACAAACAAAATGCTAATAGGGATAGGTCGTCAGAATCCCTCATTAGTCATTGTTGATTAATAATAATTATTAAAAATATTATTTTATTTATACTTATTGGATAGATATTCTACACTAACACAACTTTCACCAAATATGTTGGAAATTTATATTTTAAAAGGCTTATCATTCAAAATTGAAAATTAATTGCATTTTCCTAAATAAAATCTATGGTTTAGTAAGTTTAATATTCAAACAATCGCCATTTTTATTTAGTTATTTTATTAAATAAAATACCTATACATTGTAAAATATAAAGGGAACATATATTTCATTTTTTTCCAATAGATAGTATACAAGGTACCTATTTAATATTCATGGGTAATTTGTATATTTGCATATAGTGAATTTGCTATGAAAAAAAAACCACTACTGGGTACATAGCACCTGTCCTGTAGATGTGTAAATCGGGCTAGTCACACTGTAACACCAACTGTATCAACAAACAATTTGTGGGTGCTCAGTATTTACACTATGCACATTTCTCGAGACTTTAAGGCTATAGCAAAACATTTAAGTATTCAAAGAAGGAGTATTGAAATTTTATTGAAAATTATGTACATGAACTTTTTTTTTTAAGAAAACTGGTATTCTGCCATACAAATCTGAATATTTAAATTGCATATATCATGACAACAGGCTGTTGATAGGTGATGCTTAAAATAAAAATATTGTCTTAATGTGCTGTTGGCAAGAGCATTACTATATACCTATTAGAGAGTATAATTAGCAATATATATAATATATCGATTGGTGCCAATATCCAACACCACTGAAGACAGCTACTTTTCAAATTGTTAATAATACAAACGTAAAAACGGATTATTAATGTGATTGTTTTATCTTTTATTACATTGATAGAAACAAATAATATGTATATGTTCTTTTCATAAAGCACAAAACAACATTAATGAAGTAATGTTATCAAAACATGTATACTTACATTTTGCTTATGTTTGTTGATAGCCATTATTTTAGATGGAAATGGTAGAGAAATCATAGAAACATCTATTGTGATGTCACAAATTATTTACAAACAGGTACATAACAATAATAGTTCTACATCTAATTAGTTTACATAGTTTACTTAATATTTAAGCATCACAATTAAGGTAAAATACATGAAATACTTAGAAATAAATTATAGACTGGAGTACAATGAATAACTAATTATACTAAATACTTAAACAAGATAATTAAGTTAATACTAGTGAACTGTAAGTGTATAAAACGAATGCTATGAGAAATCAAGGTGTTAAATAAAGTTTCAACTGCTCTGATACGTTTTTTTTTTAAGTAAACTGGAAGGAAAACCATTCTAAACCAACCATTTTACAAACAAATACCTATTCTTTGTACTAAACTTGATTTCCTTTATCAGTCTTCATAATATCCACTAGATGGGATGATGGTGAAAATGTGGAAAATGATTAAGTACTGATAAAGAAAACCTAGATCAGCCTGTGGGTGTCTGAGGTTAACCAACAGAGTTCCGCTGAGTACCACAAATGCGGCTTCCCGGTGACAAGCACTAGGGAACAGCAACTTGTATGGGGTAAACCGTCAGCCTACCCGGTGCCGGGGGATTACCATGGAAAAACTCGGCCCTCAGTTGTAGACTTGAGTGCCAAACAACTGGACGGTGTTGCTGCTTGGTCAGCGGACAGGAAAAAACCAACAGACCAATAACTACAGACGGATATGGATATCAACTGAAACTGGACAGCAGAACACGACAACGACGACGACGACGACAACCGGAAAACCGACGAATTGCTTGCGTACCTAAACGTTTCGGTTTTCGATTTCGATTCCAACTAGGTAACTACTACAACTACTACAGCGCGTTGGGGAAACAACTCGTCGGAAAAATCTAGTACCGTTATCACAATACGCGCACTGAACGGGCGGCGGCTGATTAAAAACGATGAACCAAAACAAATGCGTACGGTGTCGTCCCCTCCAGTCGGCGTTTGCGGCTGCGGTGGCGGAGGTGACTGCGGTATCAGCCGTGCGAAGGACCGCGGTAGAGGAGGAGTGGGACGGCCCCATAGAGACGACGACGTACCGCTCTCGGTCGCAGCGGTGGGTGAGGCGGCAGTTGCGGTATCCTCCGGGTTTAAAAATAAATTGGCCGTGGCTAACGATATTTTCGTCGCTTATACTGCTCGCAGAACACAATATCCCTCTCTGTTGGAGACGAAACGGTTTCGGTAATTTTTTTCGCTCGTTTTTCCTCGTGGTTTTCGGCGGTCGCTGCTGCTGGCCGCTGCCGTTTTCCTCTGAGGAATTTCATAGTATTTTTATGCGACGACAACAACAACAACAGCAGCAGCAGCAGCTGACCGGCAGCGACACCCGCACTCGCGTGCCTGCGTGTGTGCTCTTGTGACGTGTTTACGTCCGGCCAGCAGCTACAATAATATTCGTTTATCTCTGCCGCGGCTGCGGACGGATTGCTACTACTACCACTACTACGTGTAGTGTGTGACGTATAATTAAAGTAGTAGATTATATAAATACGTATAATAATAATAGTTTTTATCTATACTATATATACACACATTCGTTCGCGTACGCCAGAATTGAGATTATACATACAATTATAATAATAACATTGGCACGCGGGTGGACAGCTGTCGGAGAGTTTCGTGATAACAGTCGACGCCACCGCCGGTTTGTGTACGTTTAGTCGTTCGTTTTTTTTGGATTTTCTTCCCGAGTGGACGATCTCTCCCCGGCTGTTTTTTATTTCCACCCTTGCGAACTTGGCAGCCTCCAGTTGTGCTATCTGCGCGCGCATTTCGTGACTCAAGAGTGTGTGTGATGTCCGACAACAGTGATGGTAACAGATTGTCTGGACGCGGCGACGTCTGTCATTCTAGCGTAGCAAATGCCACGGTCGATCTGCAGCAACAGTCGATAACGGGTAAGTACGACCACCGAGATGAATTTATTCGTTCGCTGATGTGGATTCATTTCTACAAAATTTAAAGCACTGTTGAAGAAACTATGGTTTCGTACTAAATAGTGTGTGTGTTGCTACCGCTTTTTAGGCTAATAAGAGCCGTATGAGTTCCACTTCTACGGTTCTCAGACAGTCTTGGAGATCAAGTCATTATGTTGACATTACCCACATACCTATAGTGTACATTCATATTACCATTAATCATGTGAATGTTGTATTTATATTATTGTCTTATTCGCACAGCATTCTACAGACTCGATAAAGAGTTTGAACACCTCCATGGCATCATGGTTGATGCATCCTATAGAATTAAGGTTGTCCTTATTACAACTTAAGCTATACTTTTAATAAATCAAATTAATTTTGAAAAACCATTAAAAATATTCCATTTTAATAATAGCATTTTATAATGAACATTTTTAATTCATGAATTTATGATTCTGGAATGTTATCTAAACTATGCAGACAGATAACATTTTCGTGTCGAATATACTAATTTGAATACACTTTAATACTCACATTCATACTAATTATCCAAATTGAAGGTAGCTTGAATATATTAATAATCATATTTGAAATTACTTTTTGTTGATAATTCTATTATACCTTAGAAATGTTAGCCAAGTTCAAAATTTATTATTAGTATGAATCAAATGCAAGTTCTTCTTGTTATTATTTTTATTAGTATACCTATCCTTATTTCAAGTAAATTAATTTTAATTTTAAATGGCAGAAATTCAGAAAACAACAGAATTAAATCAGAATTAAAAATAAAGTGTAAAAACCAAAAACAGTGCCAATGTCAATAAAATATTTTATTATCAGTACGTACTTCATTTATAAACACATTTAATTTAAACTTAGTAAATGTTATCTTTACTTCTGTTGTTTTTTTATACTTAAATATTTTTGTTAGATTTTAATTTTAATAATATTTAACAAAATATGGTGTAGTCAAGTCTCAATAACTTGAATCTCAAGGGTAATAAAAATAAATTTGCCTTATGTTATACTCAGATACAATTTAAAACACTTCAAAGGACAAAAAAAAAATTTTAATTATTGAGTTAGTTTAAAATATATTAGAATACCTTATTTTTAAAATAAACAACCAATTTTTAAAGATATAAATGTATGGTGTATTTATTTACTAAATATTTGATTATTTTAAAATCAATCTTTAACTAACATTATCTATATTTTTACAGATTACAAAACATTAGCTGACAAAAGTTCTGATGACATTTTATCTGAATACTTATTGTTGGAGCTGGGGCAGAGTAAAAAGGAATTATTCAACTTTGTGCATTTAAGCCAATCAATGAGATTAGCTAACATCAATAGTAAGTTATTGATTTAAACGTTTATCAATATTATTACATTAAAATGGATTCAGTTATTGGTTGTGAACATTTGGTCCAAAGAAAGAATGAGGAATTATTGAAAAATTATCGTATTGTTCATTTAAACTTTATATCCTGTCAGTCTAATGATTCAATACGTGCTAAAAAAAAACTGGCATCATGTCATGAGTGTAAATTTGAAGGTGCGCGATTATTGTCATGTTTATATTGTGTATGTTTTGCATGTCCTACGCACTTTCTTGAACATTTTAAGAAAACTGAGCATTGTTTTGGTGTAAACCTAACCTTTAGTCATATTTTCTGTGCTCACTGTGATGACTATACCTATGATGGTGACATTATGACTTTATCAAACACATTGAATAAGGATTTGTATTGTTATAGAAATAAATCCTTAGAGACAAAAGACATTGTCTTGCTTAGAAAAAGTAAAGAGATCGAATATATTGATAGTGCTACTCCGGTTCCGGGATTCATCAATTTGGGTAATACATGTTTTTTAAACAGTGTACTGCAGGTATTAATGCATACCCCAATGTTACGGAATTATGTTCTTTCTGACCAACACGTATGTCCCTTTTTAAAGGAGCCTAGTCGTTGTATTACATGTGAAATTGGCAGAATATATCAGCAATCTTACATGTTGCAAGTTAATGTGATTAGCTTGCAAAAGTTGTTAAAAATATTTTGGGATAACACTTGGTACATGGCATCAGCTTTACAACATGATGCACACGAATGTTTCATAGCCATATTGGATATCATACATAAACAGACGATAATACAAAATGAAAATGACAAGGATATAAAACATCTGGAAAACTGCCAGTGTATTATCCATAAAATTTTTAAAGGCGTCTTGCAAAGTGACATTGTTTGCCAGAGCTGTAACAATGTGTCATCTAAAATTGACATAATTAATGATATTCCTATATACTTTTCAATGGATGAAAAAGGAAAATATCCAACTAATATTACATTAATTGCATGCTTAGAACAATTTGGACAGATAGAGTTGTTGAACGATTTAGATTGCACAAATTGCCAAACAAAAAAGTTATCGACCAAACAGCTTATTTTAAAACATTTGCCAGTGGTTTTATGTTTCATTTTAAAAAGATTTGGACAGCCATCAGACAATGTTTCAAATAAGATTACTACATTTGTCGAATTCCCAGAAACATTAGATATGAACAAATTTATAAAGAAAAAATCTGTGACTGGTAGTGCATTCATTGATGAATGTTTTGCTTCACGTGAGTCCATCTATAAACTGTATGCTGTGATTTGTCATGAAGGTTTACTAAACGGAGGACATTATTTGTCTTACATACAACACATGGGTCTTTGGTATCAATGTAATGACAATGTTGTTAGATTAGTACAATTTGAAGACATATTGAGAAGTCCTGCATATCTATTATTCTACCATAAAGAGTTTATGAATTTCTATTAAATTTTTAGTATAATTATTATGTAAATATTTCTAAATAAATAATAAAAATGTAAATAATTTTAAAAATAAGTACAATGTTTATAATAGATTAATAATAGCTAATACTAGCGTATGCATTTTTTAATTTTTAATTAGCTTAGTTTTTTTAATTTAAATTTAAGCAACATTAAGATTTTTTTCTACTTCTATCAAAATAATATAAAAACTGAATATTTGGTCTCAATTTTTTCATGTACTTTTAATTATAATATTATTGTTTTCTTTCGAAACGAACTTTGTGATATTTTTTTATTTTGTGATAATTTAACAATTTTACTTTTTTTACTTATGCCATTTATGTATACTACGAAGAATAAACTTAATAGAATTAAACTTTAACTGTAAAAATGTAGGCAATGGTATTTTTTTGCCTATACAATCTTAAGTTTTCTTTTTAGGTAAACTGTATATCTACTTTTTAAAATGTTTCATTAGAATACTACCTTACTATAAAATTATTAACCTCGTGTTACCCCTCATATAGTATTAATTATATTTTAATTATTTTTTTTATGTAAACATTTGTCAATTTATTTCTATGTATTTCCAAAATACAAGTGAAATATGAATATTTTATGCTTCATTTTTCTTTTATTTGTTAGATAAATGTTGTTTGATAAACCATTATCTGTAGATAAATTGAACATCCAATTCCTTCTTCGCTGTTTGCTCCCAACAGTCCCAACACTCCCAACTAAATAGGGTTAGCTACCCTTGTAATAAATGTTTTATATCCTTAGAAATTAACAGATATAATTGATTTGATTTGTAAGAAAACCACAATAGTAAACATTATATCAAGGTGCTGGAAAATTTAATAAATATTTAATTGATTCTCTAAATGTTTAACAATTTTATAACCGATAAAATATTTAATTTATACCTAAAGACTAAAGTGATGTCTCTGAAACTGAGTACTAACTATTAACAACTTTAAAATTAACCAGAAGATATATTATGTACAATATAATTATAATTAATATTTATTATGTAGGTGTTAATAAGACATTATTGGTTTTAGAATTTTTAAGTCTGTTGTGATAACTGTCAATATTCAATGATTGAAAGTAAAATTTAAAATAATCGTATATTTGAGGTGCTAAGTTTGAGTACTCAGTGTTCTACATATTTTCAATCATTCAACTATAATAACAGTAATATATTTTCGATTGAAATTTTTATTTTTTATATGATGTGTAAAACAAACATTTTGATATGTATCGAACTAACTTTATGAAATATCACTAGTTATATTTGTTTTTATCAGTCGACTGAGATCATTACATTCTACATTAATAATATATATTAATCTGCTAATAATAAATGATGAAACTCGATTTATTCATTTTTGTTTGTGCTTAGATATAAAAAAATATATAAATAAAAGCAATGCAAATCTGTTTATTCTCCCAACTTTTGTCATTAACTGCGCGATTTGTTTGGTATGACATGGTTGTCAAAGCTGAATGTATTTCAAACTTCGTTACCACCAGACGCCACAAAAATCAATCTAGGTACTAAATTAATCACCTTCTAATATATATTTATATATATATTATGTATGTATAAATATTTATTTTGTATACATAGTATGCAAGCAGCAATAACCTTAACTTATAACTTGATATTTATGTTTTTAGATAATAAAAAATTACTCAACACGATATTGCACTCCAAGGTGATAAACACTCAGTTAGAAGTTGATTGTTTATTATCATGTATGGGAGTCAATATTTCTCCTTCACCCGAGCCCCTGGAAGCTAATAATAAAAATGACCACAAAGGCACAGATGAACACAAGGACACAGATGAACGCAAGGACCCAGATGAACACAAGGACACAGATGAACACAAGGAAACAGATGAACACAAGGAAACAGATGAACACAAGGACAGAGAAATGTCATCACCTATTCTTCCATTGATTTTAAAATATACACAGTTAGAAGAGTCAAATTTCAAAAGTCAATTTTTCATCACCAGAAGCTCATTTCAAGTAATTTAATTCATTTATCTAAAATGGAACACATTCTCATTATGTCAGAACTATATCAAGTGTGTTGTATAAATGTCTTAGATAGTTTGCAGTCATTTAATGCAAGAATTTGGAAGTATGGCATATAAAAGGACTGAATCTGATGTTGAAAAACAATTGCTGGTTACTCTCACATACTTAGGAACTGTTCTAAGTTACAAGTACATGATATAATTTTTATTTGATAAATCATTAATTTATTTGTTGTATTAGGCAAAGAGCATCATTTCAGTTTTTTAACCGGTGTGCAAGGTTTCAAGCAGGTTATATACAAATAGATATGAAATATATCCATCTACATTTTTTCTATAGATCATATTTATATATATATATATATCTTATATTTTATGATATTGCTATTAAAGTTATTTATTTTACTATTAGACATAAGTAATAAAGAAGGTTGAATTTACTTCTTCCAAAAACAAATTCATCTGAAAAACTCATTGTTTGTATAAAATATAATAATATACAAAGATCAAGTACTACTAAAATCAAAATAATTTTTCTTCCTTTAAGTATCTACTTTTGTCCAAATTTGAAATTTATTTAAAATATCTATTAAAAAAAAAAAAAGGGTGAACGAGTAGGTACCACACTTCTGTACAGTAGATGTTGAGTATGTCATAATGGATATGTTTTATTTGAATTAAAATTATTCAACAATAAATCATTGCATACAAAAAACGATTCTAAGCAGACGTTATGTCATCCTAGCATACTTGAATAAATAATCAAATTTAATAGTTAAAAAACAATAAATAAAAATCGAAAATATCTCATTGCTCAGCGTAATTCTTAGGTGGATTTTTTTTTTTATTTAAGAAGAACTTATTGGGAATTTTCTATTAAAGTTTAAGCTACAAAAAAATACCTTTATGAATTATACAGAAAACAATTTTGAAAATTTTTGGGATGTTGATGAATTTCGTCAAAATTTGAACTTTAAATGTATCGAAAAAAATATTAATTCCCATTTATCTTTAAGATTTTTGAGCATCCATTAAAAACTTATGAGGAACTTTGCATTAAGTTTCCATGCTTATTTACTACACTTACACAAAATTTTTATCAAAAATAATTTTTAAAAAATCTACAAAATTCAAAAACTTGAAAATTTAATACTAGGTTTCTCATATATTTGTCTTAATTATTATATTTTTAAAAAGTGAATACACCGGGGATTTTTAAGTTTACTAAATACATCTCTCTTAAATTGATAATTTTAACTTCTTATTTTACAACATTATAAGTACCATGATATCATTTAATTGTTTAGTCTTTCATTAGTGATGAACTGATGAATCATCACTTATAATGGTGCATAAATGTGACTATTTCCATAATTCTTCTTCGTATTGAAGTTTCTATCCATTTCGAACATTGTAAATTATATTGGTTCTCTTTCTAATGAAATTTGTTTATTTACTTCAACTGTCAATATAAAAATACAATTGATATTCAATTATATAAATAATGATTAATTGTGCATTATTTCGGCAGTCTTTTAGGACACTATTTTAAAAGTAAAGGGTAAAAAACACTCTAAACTAAATGATGCCCCTGCTTTAATGCATAGACACATTGAACTTTCTGTACTTATAAATGTTATTTTGTTTTATTTAGGGAGATTGGATCAAAATTTAATATCGCTATTAGCACTGCTCATAAATGTGTTAATGATGTCACAAACACATTGTTTAAACGTATGGGTGAAGTTATTTATTGGCCGATTAATCAACAAGCCGAATCTGAAATTGAAGCATTTAACAAAATGCCTGGAAATTGTTTTCCTGACATACTAGGCGTCATTGGAATGGTAGACTTGAAAAAAACTTGCACAGCCAATCCATCCAAACATACCAGAGATGGATCTTCAATTGCCATTCAGGTTAGACTACTAAATTATACCTTTATTTATTTAATATTAAAAAAAAAAAAAACTGGCAGGAAGTCCAATGGAAAAAATTACAATAATATTGTGTAACCCATTAATATTGAATGCTATATGTTTGCAGTGTGTATGCAACAACAGTTATCAGTTTTATAACGTTTTCACCAGTTATTTGCTCAAATCATCTGTTACCACATCAACATTCCTAGAGAGTCCATTAGCTGAAATGATTCTTAATGATCCAGACACACTTTTTCCAAATATCAAAAGTCATATTGTTGGACAGTGCTGTTTCCCTCTTTTACCCAATTTGATGACTCCATTTTCTCGTCATACTTTTAATACGTTATCAGAAAACATCTATAATGAAGCCATTGAGGTACCATTGAACATAATAAGGATGGCATTTGGAAAACTATTAGGGCGGTTCTCAAGACTGTTGTACGTTCAAAATCAAATACCATCACTAACTTGACATCAATTAATAAACTGTTATTTTTTTTTTCTTGTGATAGGTGCTTAGATTTATGGGGACAGGACAAATTTGCCATCCTAATATTTGCTGCTTGTTGCTTGCACAATCTTTGTTTAGGCAACGACGATGACATTTGCTGTGAACCTTACGAGTGCTGCACTTTCAAATGTGATTATTACGATGAGTTAAGTCTTGCAAAACGTCGAGAAATATGCACCAAAATTAGATATCCAGTTCCATAAACAACAGATGAATTGTTTATATAACATTGTACAAATATGTAAGATGTAATTTGAGTAAATAAACATAACCAATTAAGAAAAAATTGAATTAAAATAAATTTGTAATTACAAATTAACAATTATATACAGGAAAAATATCCTAATTACATTATTGATTTATGTGTTAGTAAATTATGGGCTATGAGGTGGTAATCTTGAAACTAACTGTTCTAACAATCTCAACTTTTGTGTTTCTAATTCATTTGACCTTTTCAGATGATCTAACATTTGCTGTTGAAGTCCTTCAAATATTTTTTCTCGTCTGTTTAAATTTTCCTCCATTTCCTTCAACCTTAAAAGACAAAAAAAAATTATATTCATTATTAAATTAATCCCAAACTTCCATTTATTACCTTTGGTCAAATTCTTTATTTCTTAGCTTAAATGTTGTCTGCAGTTCACTAATGCAATTTGTTTTATTAGAACAGCATGGTTTAGAAGTCCTGATGTAATTGTGTTCATTAACCTCATTTGAATGATTATTGATGTCACTATTATCTGATTCTTCTTTTAGAACCTGTTTGTTAGTTTCTAAAAGTTCAAAATATTATTATTTCTAATTCAAGAATTTAAAAAATAATAAGAAGAAATTACCTCTAAGTACAGAATCGATTTTATTGTAGTACACCCAAATTACTTTTTTATTCCTGTTTGTTCGCATTCTGTTTTTGTTATATCGGTTTTTCAGTGTACGCCACTTATTGTCACAAGCTCTGGGAGTATAATTAAAACCATTCCGAGACATTTCTTCTGATATTTTTCTCCATATCAAGAGTTTTTCACCAGTTGCTGCATTCATAAACTTTTCTTTATGCTTATCGAAGCAATCTATCAAGCACATAGTTGAGTCCATACTCCAGGAAACTGAAAACATAAAATTGAAATATGAGCAACACATAAATAGTGTAATTGGAGTATAACATCTTACTGCTTTCAGCAGGTACACCAAGTAACCTGTCTAAATCGTGGTAGTATTGCCACTTCACGCTGTTCACTCCTAATTTTTTGTATTTTTCTCTTCTTTTCATGTAATTTGCTTTTAAAAGACGCCATTTACGATCACATACTAGACCAGAATAATTGTGACCACTTTGACGTAACTGATTACTTATTTCATCCCAAAGTAAGCGTTTTTGGCCTTGTAATGCCGTCAGAAACCGTGGACGGTAAAGACCCCACAACTCAATCAAACATTTAGTTGCTGGTTCGGTCCATACATCTGTATAATCTAAGCAATTTTTTTTAGGATTGAATTATACACAAATATGTATCTAATTATAATTATTGATAATTTACCATTAGAAGGGAGCTCCGTAGGTTCTTCCTCATTATTTTCATGGGTTCCATCAACAATATTAATATTAATATAACCTTCATTTTCTTTTTTAATGTCATTGAGTTCATCATCATCAATTAAAGATACTGTAATTATATCATTAAGTTCTGGTGCTATAGAAAAAGAATATAAGTTAATTTGAATGCTATTTAGATGTATTGACATTGGTTTTCTTACATTCTTCTGGAGTGTTTTTAAAAATGTCGTCCATTTCTTTAAAATAAGTCCATTTAACATATTCTATTCCATATTTAATAGCCCTTTGCTTATTCTTTTTATAGGTCATTTTTAAATTACGCCATTTATCGTTACAATGATTCGCTGAAAATTGATATCCTAACTGCGAAAACTGTAGTGCAATATCTTCCCATAACAAATGTTTTTCACCTTGATTGGCGGCTGAAAATTTCTTTCTGTCTTTACTATATAGTCGAATCAATTGCCTAGATGATTCGACTGTCCACTGAGATTTTTCAACATATCCTCCTTTAAGAAAAGACATGGTTAAGTATAATAAAATTAGCCTAAATAATTAAATGTATTATTTACTAGATGAATCCTCATTTTCATATTCCCCGATATTATCTGTATTTTCTCTTGTCAAGTCAACATCATCTTCATTTTCATCGTTATTATCATTATCAACATCATCATCATTATCATTTTCAGAATCTGTAAAAATATTTAGTATGAAATTTAAAATACTTATAACTCATACATTATTTTACCTGAAATGGCATATGGAATGCCTTTAATAGCCTTATCCATTTCAGAATAATGGTTCCAAGTAATTGGGTGTTTATTACCATCTTTTTTAGAATTACGTGTTTTATTGTACATGTATACTTTCTTAAGACTACGCCATTTAGTGTCACATGCTTGGGCATCAAAATAAAAACCATGATCAACCAAACGTTCTGACACATGTTCCCAAAGGGCTTTTTTATTTTTATCTGGGCAGTTTGCAAACTGATCTCTCAATTGACTCCAACAGTAAATTAAGTAACGAATTGAAATATCATCCCAAATGCCTAAAACACGAACACAAAAATTTTAAAAAAATGAAAATTTTCTTGTTTTCTTGAACTCATAATTATTGCAATTTTTTATGTTACATAACTTACTATTAGGGTGCTCAATATTCATATCAGAATCATAAATTTCTTGCACTACATCATTGTTTTCATAGCCATCAAAGTTATTTCTTTCCTGTTCATTTACGGAAACTGAAATAAACATTTATAAATATTTTTTTAATTTAAATATATGTTTTTTTCTTACCATTGCTGTTGGTGTATATAAAATTTAAAAATAAATTACCAGGTTCACAATCATTGTCTAACATGGTATCTGCATTGGTATTTAACTGTTGGTAATCTGAATCATCGACCATAATATCACAACAATTTTGAATTGAACACGACAATTAATTTGGCATGAATGAAAACCATTATCTATAAATAAAAAATATTTAATTTGTTTTATTTTAAGTTATAAATAGTCTGACTAGTTCCATTTAACAAACTAGTTGTGTCACCCATGAGACTTTGTCATATGGAAGTTTCACTGCATTATCGTATTAGAATTAAGATTAAAAAAAGTAATACCTTCTTCCATAGTTACAATTATTATTCTTAAGAGGGCGTTACACACGTATGGGTTCTCTCTCCTACAAAACATAGCCTATTAAATAATCTATTTAACTCAAATATGTTTAATATAAAGCCAAATTGACATATTATCAAATTTTGAAGAATATTAACTAGTGAACCTCATATTCTTACTTCAAAATTTGATAATAGGTAGATTAGCTCCAATATTAATCATAACAAAGTTAAATAAATTATTCAGAAGATGCAATTTACCTTGTTAAGCAAGATTGCTAATTAACTATACTCTACACACCGCGAGCACCGTCTGTGGCCTAACAAAAATTGGTTCTTCTTCGCATCACAACACTGCAGCAACCTCCCAGAGTGAGGATGCCTAAAATAGGTGAGCCATCTCGCGGGACAAAGTAAATAATCAATGATACTAGATATCTAGTCAGTGCAATAATTAATTAAGAACAATTGCATTTTATAATTCCGTTATTTATCAGAATATTTATTAAAACTAATAAACGGGCCAATAATCATTAAGATTTATTTTTTTAGCCAATGTTGTTTTAATGTTATTGGTTCGATGTTACAAAGAAGCAACGACAATTCGTAAGAATCATGAACTTGACATACATACGGCCCATACGGCCATATTGTCATTAAACTGCGAAAAGTACACAGCAATATTACGGTCGAAGACTTTGAGGACCACCTAGTCCTGCCGCGGGGGGTAAGGAAATTGGCCAATGTCGTGGCTGTGGCCGAAAGACGAAAGTTGAACATAAAAAAAGTCGTTATTATTGCTATTATTAGGATAGCGGACTGTGGCGAGACGATGCGGTGCTCACGGGACCGTGCTGTTTACCTCGGGTCGAATATGTCGGCGTACATCGAGACGTTTTCGACGAAGGCTCCGCTTGCCGGGCTACCAGTTGTCAGAAGCGAGCTGCTACCACCGTGACGACAGACATCCAAACGGTCCGGACCGGACAAATGATCGAACAAATCGGAACTCTGGCGATACGGCGATACGCGTCGTTTTCCGTTTTCTCGAACGGTGTACCTTTTATCAATATTGTGTCTGACGCAGCAAACAGTGCCGTCGACAGTGCGAACTGCAAACACAACGTACCGTTCAAGCGCGACGGATGCGTCCGGTCAAAAATCGCGTTTTTTCCACGGGATATTCAGGCTTCCGGCGTCTGACAGAACGAATCGCATTACTTTGGGGAGTATAGTTTATGGATAAATTCACAGACATAATATTATTTACGTGTAATATCATTGTGGGTGAATTAATTAGGTATTGTTCTGCGCTATAATTAATATTGTATTAATACGGGTTCTAGAATTATAATCGGACATGTTGGTAATCTACTTATCTAAAACCACTACCTTAGTAACGGATGTACGGACGAACGGCGTATCATAGGTTATTTATTTTTTTTATAGTTTTGTAATTCGTTATCTATGGCGCTGCAGTGTTAAGGCTCTGCGATTCTCTAATCTCTAGACTCTAGTTCACTTCTGTAGGGCGTAGGCTGTTGAGTGTTGAGTGTTGACTCATCCGTTCGTACGGTTTTCTAATATCCTCCGTCTCCCGAACTGCTCAGTTGCTCCTACAACAATTTACAGTATATACTTTTTTTGGATTTCATAGTTCATACTGTTTACAGCCTACGACTTTCAAACATTTTAATTAAGTAAATAACTAGTAACTACCATGTCTGGTTCAAACGAAGAGGTCAATCTGCACGAATGCCTAGAGCTGATTACGAGACTCGCGCGACACGCCGGCAAGGTGATTGGAAAAAAATCAATTATTTAGAACTAATTAAATTATGCGATTTATGTCAGTATTCGACGGTCCAATCTCGCCAATTTATTTCTGAAACCAACTGGCATTGTTGTAATATTGTAATTCTTTCGATATTACTACAGTGGTGGTTCTCTATTATTAATTGATTGAATACGATAATTTATAGAGTATATCATATATTTTGTAAAACAAACTACAGAAAAAATTACATAGTCCCGGTAAAAAAAACTTGCTGACCTATCATTTAAGTGAGTTTCGACAATAATTATTAGGTAATCAATTCATTGACAGTAGGTATTACCAGTGTTCGTAACGTTCAATTAAAAATGGATTCATTTACTAGGTTGTTCCTTTAATTTTTTTATTTTTTATAATAGGAAGTATAAGAAAATATTTTTTTTTTTTTATTAGAGGTACTTAGTATAACTAAATTACTTATACTTCTATTATAACTCGACAATTATAGTGCAATAAAATGTTATTATATAATATTATAATTAATCTGTATATTTTAAACAAATATTTATTAAATTGAAAATAAATTTAGTTTCTTAAAAATTGTTCAATTTATTCAAATTTAGGTAAATATCATTTGCATTCAGTTTAAAAAGAAAGAGTGACATTCACCTATCCTTCCACTAAATATGAACCTGAACTTGTGAATGTCCATTCAGGAATGACGTTCTTTCCAAACACTGAGTATATATTACCTCCAATATTGATTTTTGCCAATAAATAAGAAGGGAGAGATATCCTGGAGGGTCTCATAGATAATTAAAAACTTTTTTTGTTCATAGGTTATGGGTTAGGTTTTTTCTTTTACTCAAAAGTTATGTATACTGACTATAATAATGTACCAAATTTTAAGGACACGTGAAAAATATGATTGTACTGAAAATAATTTAACCACAAATTGCATACTTATCACTTATATTTATCTATATGGTAATAAATCTACTTATAGTCATTTGAAATAGTTAACATTTTTCATACTTGTATGAGTAAGAATAAATATTTTGATTTTCAAAAGAATGTTCTAATAAAATAATTTATATTTAATTTTAATTTTTTCGTAACTTAATTATTATATTATTAATGCCCATTTACATTTATCATAGATTATAAATTTCCAATTTATGATTCATTAAATTATTTTATTTACAATTATGGTGTGTCCTCTTTAACCCCTTAGTTTATTTAGTACATAATTTATCATACACTTTCTCAAATATGTTTAAATATTAATATATTATACATTTATTTCTAGATTATAAAATCTCGAATCGATAAGAAAAAAACAATTGAAACTAAAGCCAATAACTCAATTGACTTTGTCACTGAAACAGATCAAGAAGTAGAAAAATTACTTATTGAGGGAATCAAACAAAAATATCCGCATCATAAGTATATCATTTTACAACCATTATATTGTAAATCACTCATCACTTAATAACAAATAACAAAACTTATCATAAAATTTAAGATTCATTGGTGAGGAATCATTTGCTGCCGGCATTAAAGAAGAATTGACATGTGCTCCAACTTGGGTTATTGATCCTGTGGATGGCACCACCAATTTTGTGCACAGTTATCCAAATGTTTGCGTATCCATTGGTTTGGTTGTTGGCTGTGATGTTAAGTTGGGAGTTATCTTCAATCCCATATTGGACATGTTTTTCAGAGCAATCAAAGGTGAAGGTGCATTTTTAAATGATGAACCTATCAAAGTCAGTGGCGTTAAAAGTAAGTATTTTAAGAAACACTTAAGTTTATTTGAAAAACAGAATACTACCTTATTGTTGTTTTCTAGAACTTACTGATGCTTTGGTCGCTGTAGAATTTGGTTCAGTAAGAACTGTAGAGTTCAGGAATATCGTGAACCACAACATAAATTATTTAGCAACAAATGCCCATGGGTAGATTCTTATTATTTTCCCTTCAAACAATAAGTCTTTGAAATCATTGAATAAAGATTGACATTCCAATTTTTTTAGTGTTCGTTCAGCTGGTTCAGCTGCTTGGAATTTAGCTCAAGTAGCCAGAGGAGCCATTGATCTGTACGTGGAAATGGGTCTCCATGCTTGGGACATGGCAGCAGGAGATATTATTGTGAGAGAAGCTGGGGGTACTGTGATCGATCCAGCTGGTACTTAATTTTATAATTATCTAATTCAGTAGTTTTCAACTGGCGTTTCGCAGCACATAAGTGTGCCATAACCCTATGTCCCTATCATATTTAATTAAAATATAAATTTCCCAGTTCCTAATTTTTACTATTAATAATGATAATTATATTGTATTACGCTTATCATTAGCAGCCAAGATATAAAATGATGAACTAATAATCGTTAGATATCAATGTATTCTACTATTTGTGATTTTAGTATAACAGTTTAAAATTAACATTGTTAAAAATGTGCCTATAACATAAAAAAGTTGAGAACTACTGATCTAATGTATTAATAAAATGAAGTAATTATACACCACATTAATAATTATATCGTATAATACTCAGGCAAAGATTTTGAATTGATGCATCGAAGGATATTAGCTACATCGTCAACAGAAATTGCTGAAGAAGTGTATTCAAATTTCCAACAGTATTATCCAGAGCATGATTAAAAAATTAATTTTCAGCCTTTATATACTAAGCCTTTATAATTGATAATGGTTTAGTATGATTTAATGTTTTATCAATATTGTTTACATACCAATAATTACATAGTAGCAAAGAAATTATTGTATTCAATACCACTGTTTGTTAATTAATTAAGGATATAATATGAAACACCGTTTGGACATGATATACTATTAACTATTTTATGAACTATAACTTATTTCTAAATAAATTGTTGAACATGAATGTATCTAGTCATTATATGTTGGAAAATAAAATAATTAAGATTAAAAAATATAACAGTCGTTTAATTCAAATAAAAAGTAACAGCATTCAGTAATAATTAATGAATACTTTTAATATTATACCATTTATCATTTATATCAAACATTATAGAATATAAATAACTTATAAGTAAAACTATTATCGATTATATCACCAAAATATTAGTGTATTTATAGATTGTTTTTGTAAACTGAGACCTATAACACCTCGTTGTGGGTCCCTGATAGAAATGTTGACTGGTTTGTTCCTCCTGAAAACATAAATATTTTTGTGAGAGTTAAACTTGAATGTTTCAAACAATCACTATTATACAAGATCGTCCCAACTAATAACAGTAATTAAAATATAATCAAAATGCTCTGTATCATACTAATGTTATAAAAAAACATGCCCTGTATAATTCATTCAAATCTTTTAATTCTTTCTAATTCAAGGTTACTATCAAAGTTTAAAATTAAAATAATTAAAAATTATATTTTATGTTATCTATATTTAAATTACTTTTCCTCGATAATAATTTATTTATCTATTGTCTAAACCTCAATAACTACCTATGAATTAAAAAGATTCAATATGTTATGTAATATGTATTTATTTAATCATTTTAATATATATTATATAGTTCAACAGATAGGTATGATATCTGTCTATTTACGTGAGACCTAGAAAATTGTATTGAAGAACAATCGTATTTCTAGTGTAAATTTTAAATTTTATTTTAAATTTTTATAAGTGTTTTTTTCATATAGTAATAACTAATAATTTATAAATGAATAATCTGAAGAATTAAGTTGCTGATTAAGATAAACACAATATTATTTTTTTTTTTTTTTTGATGCAGTTGAGGTCACCCAATTATACCATTTGACCACATGGTAATAATGATGACACCATTTTTAATTTAAGCAATATTTATTGTAATTTGTATAGGGATTTGGGTTACATTTGGGTATTTTAAAGGACAATTTATATTTATTACAATTTTGTTATGAACTGATTTGTATTTTCAAATATTTCAAAATATTTTATAAATAAAACATTAAATTTAGTTTGATGACAAGAATAATAATAAGAATTATCACAATATTTTGATATGGCAAGTGGCACTATCGTCTATCACTGTGTATTGGTTTTTTCTCACTGACCCACACTCAACATACTAAATACTCAAATTAACGTTTAGCAGAGCCAACCCTCTCTCATTACCTTTAATATTAGAGTGAATTCAGTTGACCTTTAATATTCTATATAATAATTAGTTAATTATATTGACTTTAAAAGGAATAGTGATTCATTAATGGATATCGACACGAAGACAACACATATTCAATATTGCAATTTCAGTTTTTAACTAGGCACCTACTTAATACTTTATTACCTATTCATCACATCACTGCAGAAAATTATATTGTAACGGATCACGGTTGTGAAAATGTGTGATATTTGAAACTTGAAACTAATAACTATTAACAAAATTATTGGTCATAACTTATGACTCATAAGGAATACATCTTACTTGGCATATTGTATATATTATGTGGGTAGGTACCTACTATCATTGATTTTAAAATCAATGGTACATTGGTACTAAATAATCATTTGTGTGACTACAAACTTAATATATAAGATACACATACACATGTGTCCGATTCAATAGTGAAGTTCTGAGCCAACACCAACCCACATACTAAGGAACTCTGGATGAATATAATGCTCTAATGTCTTTCGTTATGCTAAGTATAATATTTACTTTACTCTGCTGACTTCGCACAACCGTCAATATAGGTAGTTGTTATCCGTATAGCCATCAAACGATGTAGCTCAAACTTGGGAATAAGTATTAATAAATAAAATATTTAATAAATACAGTAGAATACTAGCTTTGATTATTTAAGTAGGTAAGTATTGTATTTACAATATTTGGAAAATAAATTATAGACTATTTTTTTTTACTAAGGGTAAAAATGGGTACAGAAACCTGTATGTGAATTCTGCGTTTTACTGAGTAGGTTGGTCACCATTCAAACACACATGCGCAGTTTCCTAGTCTCCTAGTATCTAGGCGATTGCAGTTTCTTTTGAGTATCCCCGTGTGAGGAGGGCCTAATACTAATAACTAGTAAGTCGTAGGTATATTTATAATAAATGCATAGTTATGTACCCAATATAATGAATACTTATAGGTAGATACTTAATGGTTAATAGATTAATGAATATAGTTACCTGTTGTACAGAACAATAACCACGGCTCCGTCAGGCCTTTTAAAACCAACAGACTTCACAACGGAAGTCTGTGTTAACTTTATGCGCGTGGACCCTCTGGAAATAAATTTTGAAAAATGTCCAATGGCGTAGAACATTGGTTGCTTGTAGAATTCATCTTTAGTTTTGTCAACAATTATGGGCGAATCGATAAAGTTAGACACCCAGGTCGGACCTCCCGTCATGTCCAAAGCTAAATTCCACTCCACCCATCCTTGCACCCAATGATTTAAATCCTGAAATCAAATTTTAAAAAAACTTTTTGATTTTCATATAGGTAGACATATATTACAGGTGTACATGTATATCGAATAACGAACATACAAATCTATCAGCGAAACTCCATCGAAACCCTCCTAAAAGGGTAATGATATTACGATATGATGTCAGGTGTTTATACAATTGCGTATAAATTATACCTACGTCATCTATTATATTTTTAATCTGACATTTATACTTATACAGCATTACAGCTACATTCGTTGCGGAAGCGTCTATGATAGTAGTAAGACGATACCAAAATGATACAAAATAGTAAGATGTTTACCTTATCTTTACCATTATACAATTACAGATAGAAGTCGAAATAGGGTCTAATTAGGTTATTTCAACTTTTTTTTCATTGAAACTTGAAACATAATTCAGATTTGAATTTTGATTTTTCCGGTGAAATGTAATATAATAATATATAGTGTAATATTATACTTTAATGACCTATACCCCATACCTACTATCCGCGTACTCGTATATATAGGTGTAAACATATCGACATTACTCCATTAATTGACAAGGCTGAGTGCCTGGAGTGTTTCGATAAAATTCGGCTAAGAATGCACTAATTTTGGCCTGAACGACAAAATGTAGGTATACGATATACTGATATTATAATTTATAATATTCACCTAAGTGTAAAATAAAATGTATTACTTACGTCGATGATGTTGTTCGCGTAATTTTCAGCTCTGGCCCAACTTCCCAATTGCACTTTGACGAAATCCCACGGCTTGTCACCTGGATAATGAAAATTGATTTAATAAAATTACCAAAACCGTTTTTATCGCTTTAACGTATATATTATAATAAATATAAAATTATGCCTCGAATCTCGATTATACATATCACACTGCATATAGTGCTGTATATTATACAGCATAATTGTTTGGGCGTTGTATAAATTATGATAGTCACAAGTCACTATAATTTAAAATAATAGTTTATTATCTAATAGCATTAAAAAATGTCCCCTCCGAAAACTGGATTTATATAGTTCTATAGACTATAATGTACCTTTTTTTTTTTTTTCGTGTTTGAACCGACGGCGCCGCGGGAACTGCTTTCGCATTACTGCCGCGAGGACTATAATGTACCTACCACCATTAGTCATAACCTATTTGAGTATGCTTAAGAGTTTAATAACAAAAACCTAAGACCCTCTCACATTAACAAACCTTGCGATGCTTCAGTGTTCATTATGATCTTGTCACCAAAGTTTTTGTGCACTTCATTCAAAACTTTGACAGGGACGATAAAGTCTAAGTACCAGTGAACGGCTATTCCGTCGATATACTTTGCACACTGTTCGTCGTTCATAAGCTGTAGAAAAAAAAACATTTTACAATTCTTTATTTTAAGTTAAATATGCTTTTTCTTGTACTTGCATGTTTTCACTCATACCAGCAATACCTAACATACTATGACAGGGGGTGCAAACATTTTATTAGACCATTAATAATATATATTATAACAATATAACTTATTAGGTATCAAAATGTTAGTTAATATAAACAATTAAAATCAAAGAATAGACCTACTTATACGAATATATTTTGTTATAATGTTATTAATTATTATGTATCAAACATGATAAATTACTATTCGATTGACCAAATTATTTGTCAATTAACATAATTAACATAGGTAATAACTACTAGGTAATGGTTATTTTGAAATAATTATTTAAAGGACCGTGTATAATGTGGATGGTGGGCAACTAGCTGTACTTTAAAAAATGAATTTCAGTTTATTCGTGCAGATTAATATTAGGCATTGGCATAATATATAAGCAATTTGTTTTTCATCCAGTCATTTATATTGACAACTTCTATTAGATATCGCTACATACACCTACTCCATACTCATATCGATTGCAGGGCTATTGGATAGATCAAAACCAAATAATACAAATTATACTACGTACCTACTAATATAGCTGTATAGCGTGCAGGATTGGTCATACTTTTTTAAGTAGGTGTATACACTAGCTATATACCGTAGAATGGCCTTACTTGGGACACTTTTGAACTTCAGATGAATGCTGATCGATAAGTATTCAAAATATGATAATAATAGTAAGGACCAAAAATTATGGTCTTAGCTTAGACCTTTAAGACACATATGTTGTTATGTTTTTGATTCTCCCCCTCGCCATTTTTTTTAAAAAAAATATGCTTGTCCCAAGTTACCCTTAATTTTGGCAAACTTGGGACAACTATTGTTTTATATGAAAAAATAATGTTACGCTACACACATTTTAACTTGGGACAGATATATAGTTTAAAAAAAAAACAGCTTTTAAAATATTACAATTTTTAATTTTTTAAATTATTATTATAAGTACATATTTTAGATAAAACAATAAAATAAATATAATTATTTTTCTTTAACAAATCAGTCACTTTTTTCACTTATAATTACAATACCTAACAATTCAAACACTCCTTGGTTTTAGTTGCCTATTTAATAATATCACATGGTTTAATTTTAAGGTAGGTATAACATGAATAATAAGTACATATTTTAGATAAAACAATAGGTAAAATAAATATTATTCTTTTTCTTTAACAAATCAATCTTGTAATAACTTTACATTTTCCAGGATCATCAGTCATATTAGTTTCGTCATAATTAATTATTAATTGTGGTAAAACTCCAGCCAATGAATATTCAAGGTTGTCAAAATATTGCATTATTATATGTGGATTAATTCCTGCCCTTGACCTTTTAATATTTTCAGCTAATCTATCGCTCAGAACAGACATGTGACGGTTTATAAAATGTTTAGCCCAAGTGTATCCTGGTAAATTACCATTAAATATTGGATCTTTGACACCATTATTATTTAAAAAACTCTCTGCACTATTAGCCTTATGTCGAGAGAAGTGAACGGAAAACCCCACTTGCTCGATAAAATTATCCCATTGACTAAACTTTCCTCGTCAACATTTGAAAGAGCATTATGCCTACCAACTTTCAACATATTTTTTTCATTCACTTTTCTTTGAATGGTTGATTTTGAAACCCCGTACTTCGATTCTGCATCACGATATGTAAGTTTTTTGGATATAACATCATTAATAGCTTTTTGTAACGACTGGGGGGAATAATTTTGATATGATCGACCTCCAATTTTTTTTTTTGTACTTTCCTATTGTATGTCTAAATAAAAAAAATATATTTATATGACATAGATACCTAATCAAGTTTTATATCAATAGTTTTAAATTTTATATCAAGAAAAATAAAATGATGTCACATCAAAATTACCTAACTTGGGACACTAATTCTAATTTGGGACGTTGTCCCAAGTTACCATAAAAACTATTTATTTTCAAAATTTCACGATAACAGCAAAAATTACATATAATTGATAACAATGAAATATTGTATATTATTCACGTGTGGTTGCTGCAACTAAATGTTGTAACCCACATTTACATTCAACTAATAGCAAGCTTTTTATACACTAAGTTTTAACATGGTTTTATAAAAAATAATAATCTACATATCTATTTATATTTAAATAATAAGTACTTAAAATGTGAGAAAGTCTGCGCATCAAGAAGATCGTTGTGAAAGTGATGATAAACAAATGTGTGATTATACGGAGGTGATAACAGCATTTTTAGTGCTCAAATCTTATCATTGATAATACTATATCATTTGTATTCAAGTTACCCACATGTCCCAAGTAAGGCCATTCTACGGTATAATATTATTATCGTCAAACAATAATCAATAATTGCCAAGTACAAATAACAATTGACAGTAGTAGGTATACGGTACCATTTTCATCCACCAAGGCAATACGATCCTCTGGTCGTCAATGGCGAACAACAGGGTGCGGTTGTGTTCAGAACCCCTTAGTCGGGGCCCCATGTGACGTCCGATCCATTCGCGGTGCGACATCGGCGTCCAGCCCATGGAATTGAATCGGTTGACTGGCACGATGCCGTTGAGCGGTTCGTTCCCCGTGGTCAGAGCCCAGAAAGTCAAATTTTGTTTGCTGTATGCGTCCAAAAATCTTCAACATATCGACCCACGAAAATAAATTACTGACATTAGATTGGCGAAATTTACAATTGTATGCGGTTATAGGATTTCAAATATTAAACATAATATGAATATGTGGACAATGCGTAAAGCGTACGGGCCTAAATACACTTTCCGAAAATCCCTTTTATGTTTACACAAGAAAAACTAATTTCAAAACATCTCAGTTTTGGTATTCGATTTTCTACTAAAAAGTAATTGGGAGTCTGAAATTTGGAGGATGTTTGTAACGATCATTCTGTAGTTATTGTGATTTGAAATCATTATGCGCCAAACCTGAAACCGCTACGGTGCTAGCAAACATATACATAATTATGCAGGTTATCACGTTAGGTATATAGCCAGATTCACAGCTACGCCAGGCCCTGATTTACGCATGTGCAGGCGGTGCACTAGCACAGGGCCCCCAAATTTGAAGGGCCCCTTCGGCCTTCCTATTCTATACTTTGCTAGTTGCTACCATAAATAAAAGATATTTTTAATAAGATTTAGTAAGTAGTAACTATAACCTATTTAAGGAGGCCGCCGCAGCATGCGTAGTTTTCATACGGTTTACACTAATCACTAATAAGCCATCGATAGTTATATCAGTCATATTTTTTACATTTTTAGTTAAAAAAGGCCCCCAAAGTTTATAGTGCACAGGGCCCCTATTTCACTAAATCAGGGCCTGAGCTACGCCATGTGCCGTGTCGTGCGAGGATGTGGTATAACTATGGGTACAACTGGTATTCAATATGGTTTAAAAGTTGTAGAGCTGTGGTCAATATACTGGGTTTCAACTTGGTTATTACATGATACCAAAAAAATAATGTCCAATCCCAATACGGTTTGATAACATGACACACGACGTATCAGTGAATCTGGCTTTATGTACGTAATCTTTTACATGGTTATGAATACCTATAAGATGAGATGTACCTAATAGCTGGTATACCTATATAATACATACCATACAGAATATAGCCTATAGGTTGGTAGTCTAACAACTGATTACCACGCTAAAGGCGGATTTCCACTATACGCTTTCGCATATGTCCTTTGCTGTGATTGGTTGGTTAAGTTAGGTTACCACACAATATTTAACCAGTGTTGTTGGACATAGCTGAACATTTTTCGTGTACACAGAACACAGCACACTCGTATAGCGGAAACCCGCCTCAAATTAAAGTTTTTAATAGGTACCTCTAAATACGTTAAACACAATCTCGATAACGCCTTGTCCTACGTGAACGCGGCGAATTTGAGCGATTATATTCTGACTAAATCTGACCATCCTAGTGTTTGTCGCGCGAGCGATGTCGGCCGAGTGACGAAATAAGTAGGTACAATCTGTTTGGTTTTTTGTTTCGTCGTCGCGTTCACGTATAGGACAAGACGTTGTACTCGCGAAATACGATGATGTGCGATGGTATACTAATATGATAATACTATAATAGATATTATGCCCTCGTTTACTTTAGATGGTATTCCGCCCACGCTTCCATGAATGTTGGCTTGAGGAAACCTATGCCGGAATAGTCGTTGTTGGTTTTCATCCACGGCGGGGCCGACCACGCCGATCCGATCAACTTGATTTCGTCCGATGCCATACTCATTGCGGTCTTTATCAGTGGTATCTGAACAATGAACATAGGTAATATTATGCATCAACACAATACTGTAGTATATATTATCAGATGTATATAGATTATAGACTGTATATGTATCTGCAATTCTGTAGCTCGACAACTTTGAACAGTGGAGGATGGAAGGGAATAAGGGATTTAAATATTTTGGAAATATAACTCATGATACAGAGTCGTCCATGTCATTCGCATTCAATGACGTATTAAATAATGGGATGGAGTGTTGGTAAAAATGTAAAATTGCCTCTATTGGGGTGCAAATAGCTGCTAAGGGACTTAGGAGCGGTCAGCGGTGGTGTATTTTTTTTTTTTTTTTTTTATTGAACTTAAGCTTCGGCAACTGAGGCCATTAGCTGTAGTAGGATTTGTATTGTAGTTTGTATTGTATATTTTTTTGGAACGGTAGGGGGGAACACGTGTGTGTTTGTTTTTTGGCAGAATTTCGAATGGGGCACCCGTAGGTTTCTGCCATGCCCCGGGGGTGGGGGATGGCAGCACTTGTTCTCCGGTCACCGCGACTTGTCCGGAGAAAAATGCCGCCCGGTAGCCGAGGATCGAACCGCGACCGGCTGCGTCGCAGCGGACGCGTCAGACCACTCGGTCACCTCATCCCCCGGTGGTGTATTATAAATTTATAAATGCCCACAACCTACAACCATCGTCCTCAACATTTGTCGATTAAGAAAAATAAACATAGTTATTAACATGTCAAAAAGTTATGTACAAATCCATATTATTTAATTTACAAGATTTCATTTTTGGTTATTTACAATTATTCCATATAATCTGCAGTATATGATTAACACAAGAGAGGGCTAATGCAGCTATTTTACGTTCGAGAATCGATATCCTCTATTTCAATTTATGAGCCTATAATTTATTATTTTAATACTATTTCCTACTGTTATTTTCAGTTTCATTGTTATTTATAGTTTATTAGCTCTATATTTCCGTTCATTGTTGTATTCATTGTTTTGTGCATTGGTTAATACAACCTGATGTTATATTAATATAATAAAAACAATAACGTATTAAAATGAGTGGCAAAATAATAAAACTTAGTGATGTAGTTTCTATAAAATTAGCCATAAGTACAAATTATTTCAAGAATATTTTTATTATTTCTTAAGTTTCTAAATTACTAATTAGAAAGTTTTTTTATGACATAGAAACATGAAGATTTGACATGCATGTATAACATTTTGAGTGTTTGTAAGTATTATTGCAGACTTTTTGTATCCAAATATTTTTCAGTTAATTTGTTTAAGACAAGAATTATTAGGGTACAGCATCAAAGCTTCACCTAAGGAGTCAAAACTCAAAATACGCCTTTGCCCACATTAATCAATTTCTTAATTTTTTTTTTGACGGTACCTATTATATAATATAAATTATTATAATTTAATAAATCAGAGGCATTATTATAATCTAATTTATACATCAGATATCAGATACATATTAATATACCTTGTATTCTGCGTCTTCGGGAGCCAGGTCAAAATTGTTCAGGTCTGGAATGCCTTTGCTGTCGGCGTACGTATACTTGCGTGTCGAGAAATCAGTACCACCGATCGGCACTCTCCCAATGTTGTACTTGATACCGTCGTCAGCGAAATAAGACCTATGGTAGGGCATGGCAGGTACCAACAAATTTAATTTAAGAACTATATCTCGGTAAATATTATGCGTCGGATATTCTTATACAAATTTAAAAAAAAAACTGAATTTTTTTTTAAAGCACCAATTATGTCAATTTTACTAATTATCATTTATCAGAAACCAACTTTAATGTTCAAGCATTTCTCAAAGTTTCTACGATTAATAATCTAAGTATACATAAGAAAACCTCTAATCATTTATTGATAAATCGTAATTTTACACTTGAATATCGAAGTTAATCGAAGGAGATTACTTCTGAAATTAGAGTGTTCAAACATTTTTTAATAATATATGTGAAATTACACTCATATGTTTTTATAACCGTGTTAGCAAAACTTATATAGAATGACTAAGAAGCATAGGAGGATCGCGCGGGGGTTGGGAGCTAAGCCTCTACCTCCAAAAAAACTTGAATATCTTACACCACGTATTATAGGAATACAATGAAAAAATTGTTATCCCTATATCAAAATGTTCAGCCCCCCCCCCTCTAAATCTCAAATACTATTTGTTCCTATGATAAAGAGGCTATACAAATATGTATTAAATTTTTTTTAAATATTAACAGTTTAAGTGAACAACATAATTTTTATTACTATATATTAGGTATTTAGGTCTTACTTATTAGTTGAGTATTAGTTATTACTTTTTAAGTATAGACGTATAAAATTCTGTACAGTTACCATACAATTACTTATTACAGTATAACGTTATAAAAAATGTGTAAGTCGGTATCTAAGTACTAATTTTACAGGAACCATCTATCTTATTAAAGTCAACATTTTAAAATGGCAACAATTTGTTTTCATTTTTTTTATATACATAAATATGTAATTAGAGGCACAAAGCCCAATTTATAACAGGGAAAGTATGCTTTGACCACGGAAATATATTACCAACCAGGCAGAAATAGTATTTTAGTATGAGTATGGCTACATCCGCATTGGTTCCCATACCTAAAAGAACTCCTATAACTACTTCGGATATTTCAGAACCGATTAGGATTCTCTGGTTTTTATAATGAGTTGCCCAAAAATAACTGTTGCCTATTTATTGGCCGAGCAATGTATTTGAAATACCCACATAGCCTAATGCCTAAATTACTGTAACTTATATTTAACGTATTGTTTTAACACATTTCATTCATAACAATATACTCAGCTTACTTGAGGAGATTGAGTTGGGTGTTCGGGCTCAGCGCCATGACATTAATGCCCACCGAGTCTGTGAACGCACCGCCGAAACCGTATATGGTTTGGTACGTGGTTGTCGCATCCACGTCTATCTCGTCGCCGGACCATTGCGAGTCGAGCGACTGCACGAAAGACCCGCTGCTCCTGCGCATCCGACTTCCGACGTTCGAAGACGTGTACAGCGCGTACTTGCCGGCCGATAGTGTTTCCGGTTCCGGAATTCGGTCGCAGTACGTCGAGTTGCACACGCACACTGTGCCGTACGCGAACTTCCTCGGCAAACAGTCGTCCGCGGCCATCGCTGCAGCACATTAATTAATTATTAATACTTCGATATAACGTTCTACAAGTCATATGCAAGCCTATAAGAAATGATGCTGATTGCTGGGACTTGCGGGAGGGCTTTAACAGCATCACGATTTTGAAACTACCACCTCCCCTCCCCCACAAAAAAATATAGATTTTTGAACATTTTAAACGTTTATCTTCAATAGGTTGCTCTTTTTTACTTATCTTCTAAGTTCTAACACACTGTTTGAATATTTATAAAAAAATGTACATACTGTGTATAACTCGTGTTGTACAAATACACTTTTTGTACTACGGAAATTTGAGAAGTAATCAAATACGATTAAAAATTATTTGAGAACTATTTTTTTTTTTATATTTATTAATTACTAATTAGTAAACTATATTAGCTCGTACGGTTTTCCCGAAATTTCAGTAAATAGCATTAAATAAAATAAAGTGCTAATTACCATAAATTATTTTTATATTTTCTAAATATGTGAAATAAGTACTAAAAATGCCCTTGCGAATTTCCGTTAAAATCACATATCTATGGTTAGTATAAGTATAGTTATTAAAATATTTACTATTTTTTTACCGTTTAGTCCAGTCATCGTAATTATTGCCACCATCGACAGTAGCCATTTCAGTGACGTAGCCTGTAACACAAAATGTTTGGTAATTACAATGTATTGCATTAATAAATTTATAGCATTATATTGCAAACTATAAAATTAGAAAACTTCAAACGTACAACAATTATTGAAACATAATTGTTTTCTTAAAAATAATAATAATATCTCATATGTACATGTTTTGAATGGTCTAATAACTCACTAAAAGGTATAAACAATTTGCTGCAATTTGAAAATTATAGGATGCTCCCAGTAAGAAAGTAGATGTGGTGGATTCATTTTATTTATTAAATTAAGGCTTACCGGCTTATGACTTGTAAAGTTCTACGGTATAAAAGCAAACGGGAATATAGAACGGATGCACATAAAATACAATTTATTATTATACTATAATAATATTGTTGTCACATCGTCTTACTGGTAATGCTCTAAAGTCTAAGATAACAATATAGCTATAGTCCGGTACGATTGTACTCTAATCAGCGTGTAACTTTTTTTTTTGGGGGGGGGGGGGATTGGGGCTAAATCGTTTGAGGATAAATTGTTATTATACATTTGAATATCAGAATATCTAACATCATCAAACTTTGAACTTTATTGCTTATAAAACATAAAAGATTTATGCGCGACTTTATGAAAACATTTTTTATTCTTAATTCCTATAGCATAAAAAAAATGTATGATGAATCATGTATTACATTTTTAATTCTTCGATTTTAATAAGTTTAAATTAAACCTAGATATTTCGTACATTTTTAACAACAAAATAAATTTTTCGCTTTTGTGATTTTGAAGAATTTGGTAAAAAAGTGCACATTAAACGCTTATTAAAAATAATGCCCATGTACTCGATATTTCTTAGTTGTGTTCGTAAGTTAGTCATGACTTCACGAGTAAAAGAAACATCAGAAGAACTTTGTAATAAATTGTCAAACTTTTTTAATTCATAAACAAAAATACTATGCATGAATATAAATTTAATTTTATGTAAAATTAATAGGTACCTATACTTTAAATGTCTATAATTGTAGGAAAAGAGCATTAATTAAGAAACATACAAATATATACTGCAAGTTGTAACAAATTAATAATTTATAATCTAAATATAGGTATACATCTCTTCCCCTTTTATATTTTAATTTGTTTTCTTATTTATATGACATCGTAATATTGGTGTATGATTTTGTTACACCTACAGTCGGCTTCTGATTAACATTTTGTGAAATTGAATTGGATATAGTTATTTCAATAAAAAACACTATATAATCATCACCGCGACGCGTGAATTAAAAAATATTCAACAATTCAATGAAAGTAAAAATAAAACGTGTTTAATCATTAACCATTGTTTTCTAAATTGTTAGTCAACTTTCAACTTTGGCTCAAATGTAGTTTAAAAAAATAAAATTTGAGATTTTATAAGTATTATTACCTATTAAATGAATGCAGTTGAACTGTTGTAGTATTATAAACAGTTTAAACTTTTAATGTATTACCTCAAAATAGCAAACCCTTATAGTCGTTAATATGTTAGAGCAAAAAGACTAATTCTGAACAACCGCTTTCGTATCCTCAAACCTCTAGTCTCTAATAAACACACCTCCCTTCATGTCAAACTCCTCATCTACAAAACACTACTGAAACCAATCTGGACGTACGAGATACAGCTATGGGGAAATGCAAAAAAGACAAATTTAAATAAAATTCAATGTTTTCAAAACATTGCGCTAAGAAAATTAATAAATGCTCCCCCATACATATCTAACCATAATACTCTCCATACAGACCTAAAATTACAAACTATCCACGAGCTAGCCAAACACTTTTACAAAAGATTCCACAACCGTCTTTCCTCCCACTCAAATCCTTTAATTAAAAACCTTTCCTCCCTCTCAATCCCCGGCAGTCCTCCTAGACGATTAAAACGTAAATGGTGCAGAGACCTGTTACAAATTTTAATATAGAAATAAAAAAAAATAAAAAAATATTAACTAATTAAATATTATATAGTACGCATTTACATTTTCATGTATAACTATCAACATTAAAGTGTCATCGTTGGGTGGCTTCTTTACTCACTTTTTTTTTTATTTTGTATACTCATGTTATCTGTACCTTATCATATATGCTTATTATGTCATCTGATATAGATTGTATATTTCGACTTAAAAAAAAGAAAGAACTCAACTAATACATTTATACACCTCTATGGCTCTATACTCCAGTTCAAATTATAAAGACTAATCACAATAATGCACTGATTTCGCAGGAACTATACTAAAACTATAGTGGTTTACTGTGTCATACTATAGGCACATTGGATATTGGCTTTGGTGTTTACTTGTTATTTTTACGGTAACGAATAAATGCTGTAACAGTAGTGATGTATACATTTTTTCTAATCGTATTCGTTATATGACACTATAAAGGTTTTAATAATAATGTCTTATTAGGTATTTTAATGCATATGCTGATTTTTTTTATAAGGGCGATCACCCAGGGTCAAGTGAGTCCCCCCTTATTATATGATTATAGTATATAGTATATAGTATCTATGTTCGAGCTTAAAATGTTTAAATTGTGAGCAAATATTGTATACTTAGTGAACAACTAAGCAGAATACGATTAATTTATTATAGTTTAAACTTAGATTTTTAAATTTATTTATTTCTCATTTTTCCACATTCAGCCGAGTTCAAATCATTCAGAAGGATAGCAATGATTGAGATCGTTCTGACGGTGGAGGAAGAATAGAAGAGATCATACACTAATAACAGTATCCAATATATCAAAGAGGGAGAATTGAACGAGTAGTCTAAGGTAACAGACTTTAAACGATATTCTAAGATGAGGACGATAAATGAAACAATTTTGACAAACCCTTTCTCGGAGATACAATAATAACAATAGTAAATAGTTCAAGGTTTTGTATATGTTTTAAATGATTTGTTTAATAAACGATGACAGAGTAATAACCATTAGGTAGCACAATATTCTGGGGTCATCAATAACACAAAAAATTTTCCTTGCACAATAATTATAATTTATAATATGTAAATATAATAACAATCATAAGATATTATAAGAAATAACGCCAATAACGACCGAATATAAAGAACTATCTCAATAGTTAATACTTAATACCCACAAGGAACCTATTAACAATTATTATATGGATATCAATTTTATGTAGTGACTAGTGAGATGCGATAATCACCTAGGCCGCGATTAGGTGGCTAGGTAGCCATGTTTAGCCCGGTTTAGGTATAGTTTTCAGTAACAAATAGCTGCCCGACCTTCCTCCGGAAGAAATTATTATTTTATAATTTAATTTAAAAACTTAAGACTATTTTTTGGCTATACAAATAATACAACGATTATAAAATAAAATAAAAAACAGACATCGCTATCGGTGAATATATGAAAATAATTGGTAATTAGTAAATTATTATTATTATTATAATGAGGGTTGAAAACCGGTTTCCTTCGTCTCCAAAATCAAGTTAGATTCTTATATATATAGATTATATTTATAGACATAAGACTTCCGACGTATGATAACATTTATATTTTTAAAAACCGTTTGATTAGATATCTTTAGAATTTACACTATAGCTGCGATGCAGCATGACACTATGTGCAATTTTTTTTAGAAGAGACTTACCTACATAATAAGAAATAAACATTCAAGAATTAAATGTATTAAAAAAATTAAAAAATAACAACCAAATCGATCAACCTATGGTATAGTAACATTACAAATATTTACAATCATTAAGCATATTGATATTTACATATTATACATTTATAAATGTATACCTACCGATCATACAATATTACAATCCTATATTATACATTTTTGCCAACTACAAATCACAATAAATACTTATTTCTAAATTGACTGCTTACATTTTTATACACACTTCAATACTTGTAATATGGTTTTGGCTCTTCTTTTTTTTTCAATCCTTTATATTACTGTTTTCCAACTTTATATAAAATAAAGCTTTTTATTAAAATCCAAATAAATGAATGAATATCAGTAAGACTTTTTTTTTTTAAAGTTTTCATGTTCTCAATTTACCAACTTAGATATTTACTTTTATTAAATTGATATTTCAAATCCAATCTACAGTAATAAGAATACATAACATTGATTGAATAAGTATAAAACAATAAAGGTATCCTAATGTTGCTATTTGCACTTATAGAAAATGCATTTGTTGACATTTTCTATCATTCTTATCAATTTTCACATCAAGAGTTACAAGCCCGACAAAACGAGTAAACATTTTATTGATTATACTATTATAGACGATTTACTTATTTATACTTTAAATTTTTAGAATAATACTTTGTATATTTGTTTAAATCTAGTAAATTAGGAAATTTATATTATCAATACTTTTATTGTTTATTATTTGTACTTTTAACTAAAAGTATATTTCAAGCAGCGATTCACGGTTTAAGTAAATGTCTAGGCGGATAGTAAAATCGCATACAAATTAAACTCTAACTATTTTCCTAGGAATTTAGTAAAATGCCTAATTTGACTCTTACGACATATGCAAATAGAGCAGTTTAAAAAGCCTCGTATCACATTCGACATCGAATTATTATTATTATTATTATTATTATACAAGCTCCTAATTAAAATGTCTTAAAATTAGTAATTTTTAATTTGAAAAAAAAAAAATGTTAAAATGGAATTGAATAAGTGATATGAATTTTTTTTAAGTATAAGATAAACATAAATGATTTAGCGTATGTATAAAGTCAATTTAAGGAGAATGTCAAATTCAAGATAACCATACAAAGCCTTAGGACCCTATACAGATACCAAAAACATAATTGCTTTCCTAAAAAAAATTGAATTGTACAACTTAAAAAAATGTAAATTTAATGTAAATATCACTCCATGTATTTAAATGATTTTTTTTATTAGAAATAAACAATCTATACAATAATGTACAATAAGCTTATGTGTTAAGAGAATACAGGACGTGAGAAATTGAATAAGTAGCCGCCCACTGGCAACACTTAGCTTGAGTAATCAATAAAACAAAAGTCAATTTAAACGATTTATTTTAAAATGTTAAGATGATTTTCTTTCACTTAATGATAATGTAAAAAATATTGTATATTCTATTACATTTTTATTGCATATTTTATCATATCCCAGCAGAATATATATTTTACTATTTTATATATTGCGTAATATAATATTTTTTTTTGTTTATTAGGATGGTGGTGCCAGTGGCATCATCAAAGACCATTGGGTGTGGGATGGTACGATAGGATGTAATTTTTGTTTATTTTTTAGTATTTTTTTTTATTTGGTAGGGTTGTAACACGTGTTATTGTGTGTACATGCCATGTTTCGTCGTTAAAAACCAGTGGTCACCCATCCGAGAGCTAGACTGGGCGCAACGTAGCGTCAGAAATCTTACGTGATTGCGGTAAGCCACTGCACCACACCATGGTATATATTATAGTATTAATTCTAATTTCTAGCTCTAGTTAACAACAATCTTTAAACTTGATTAACTTAAGCATTGTAAGTAAAAAAAATTGTGTTTAAATATTTGTATACAGCGAATCCCCTTTTTACCTTGAAATTTGGGTGTAATTTTAATATTGAATTACGTTTGGTACAATAATAACATTTTATTTTATGTATATTTAAATAATGTTGTATTTTAAACGTTACTGTAACTAGTGTTGCGAAATATCGAGGATGCAAGTCTTTAGGTCAAGGTCGTATATGTATAGGTAATATATAAAAAAACGAATAACTCAATAATAACAATATAGATGTTGATACAGTATTTATAGAAAAACAGTTTACCATGTATGTACTATAACTTACAATTAGGTAACCTACCTGTGATAATTTACCTACAAATAATATTAACAAAATCCATTAATCCGAATTTCTCATTTCAAGCTCCTTATGTTTTGAATTTACATAACACTTAAGTGTTTATATATTTTTATTTCATACACCTACTAGCAACGCTATAGCATGATACAAGATCATATGCATATTTCATACGATGCGATTGTATTCTTCCAGTCTTCCGCTAATTGCCTTTCAACGCCTAAAACATCAGTTTCAGGCTATGTCGCTTGCCGGGAATTTTTCCGGTGGGCCAAGGTGGCTGTTCATAATATACAATAAGCAATATTAGAGGCATTCTTGCTTTTGACTTTAGAGAAAAATAGAATGAATAATATTGATGTTGAATAAGATACTATTGACATTGTTCAAAATAATAAAAGTGATTTATTAGATAAAAATAGGTATTTTGTTTGTTTATATGGCAACATGTTCTATAATATGATAATTTTTAAACAAGCATGCACTTACTTATACCCTAAAAATCCCTAAAAATATCTACAGCCCAGGACGAAACAAATGTGGGGGCTAGTCAAATAGTTTTCAAGAGCCAAGTTTTTTCATACATACTGTTATATTTTCCTATATAATCAATAAACATAGAAAGTTAAATTACTTACCATGTCGGTCGTGTTTGATACGAGTGTGGTAAATTATCGTAAGCGATCGCACCACACGCAGTCTGCAATCCACACGTGCTCGATGTAGTCGTGTCACGCTGCAGTCCTCTCGACAGACATGATGACGCTGTGTGTGTACGACGTATTATGTGGTATAATTGTGTCGGCAGTTTTGTTGTTGTTCAAATGGAACACCGACTTGACGTCTTGTCGTCTGCTTTCTCACTCAGGTTGCTGCCGTACAGTATACACAAGTCTGACCGATCGTGCTACGACAGTTTTCAGCATATTATTATGGAAATATATTATCGTATGGCAAATAAAAGTAGTAATATGTAATATCAATTAATATTATATATTATAATTTATAATATACAGTTCGGTGGATTTGTCCTAGTATATACAGCAGTCCGACTTGTACGTATATTTCTCCGAAACGAACTAGAGAACCCGACAACAACGAGTAGATACGTATATAATATTACAATTTACAATAATATATAATAATATATTTTTTAATTTATAGAGTTCGGATGCAATGTAAACTTATAGAAACGCTCGAGTAATCCGCGATATAGTCGTAACGTGTCCTCAGCACGAATACATATTATTGTGCCTACATATCAATCGGCGTCGGTATACAATATAATATTATATTTTTGGTCACCTTTGCACCTACTTCCTCACTCCCTCTCAAACACTCGCACAATTTCTCTCTCTCTCGCCCGTCGAACAAGATAAACCGGATCATTTTAGTACTATAGACATCATTGTACAGGGTGTTCTATAAAGAGTGATTTAAAAAAAATCATGAGTGCGTATCCCGATCTATTGGTGGTCAAAAAAAAAGTGAGTTTCATCGTTGTTGCCTCAAAACCGTTGGTGATCGGGGGAAATAATTTGAACACTGTGAAGCAAAAACTTGAAAACAAAATTGAAAATTAACAGTTTTTATTGGTACCTGTAACCTGTTTCAATTATATAAATGCAATACTTTATTAAATATTTCATTTTGAAACCAGGATGTTGCTTATGAAACACCCTGTACTATATTCTACAGTAAGTATTCTCAGTTACTTGGCAATATACATAACATTTGCGGTGTATTTATATAATATGTATGTACATATTATATGTATATAAATTACAAATATGCACTATGTAACCATATAGGCGTGTCTTGATTTTTGCCTCTATGGCTCTATGCTTGCGTATATAATGAGTAATGACATGAACCAATATCCAATATAAACCACTACATACGGTGTGAATCATTTAACGTAAGACACATAATATATCATATTCGTATACGAATATATGATACTCAATATAAATGTCTTACATTAAATTAATGGATCGGGATCACTCTGTATGTATTATAATAGTATTATACCATTTAGTAGCGTTTGAGAATATTTATTAGTCTGTGGCTAATTCTGTTTGATTTTTTAAGAGGAAATTATTTTTTTTTTTACCATCGCATCATTAACATCGTTAATTGTATAAAATTACTAGACACAGCAATTATGTTTCCATACGTGTGTTTACTGATTAATGAGTAGTGACACATTAATTATATTCAATTATCATCACAAATCACGATTAAATATTATACCCATAATTTCTAATCCTTATTTTATTTTATTTACTTTCTTTTTAATCAAATTAATAATCGTTACATAATATAATAAAGAGCATAGGTAGCAGCCAGCAGGTATTAACATCATTCTTTTTTTAGTTATCATACTTATCTTTTTAAATGTTATATTTCTATTATATATGTATATAGGTTTGTATTAAAATATTAAAACGAAAAAATTGATCATTTATCCTCCTTTTTCTAATTATTTTATTTTATAAGTCTTAACACTTGTTAGTTTTTATGTAAGGTAATCTAAACATTTTGCAAAAATAAAAATAGCATTATTTGTTGCTTAATAACATATCGATAGTGTTTTATAAGAATCTAAACATGCATGGTCATTATTTTATTTAATAGTGTGTTGAAAATATCGGAACCAGAATAATTTTTTGGTTCCAATATTATTTAGGCATTTATATTTAGGTATATAGGTAATAATAATCAGTTTATTGAAATTGGTTTACATTATAAATGTTTTTATGGATTTATTATTCTTTTGTTTTTATATTCTATAGTCTATACATTCTCCAGTTCCAGAAAAAGATTAAATATGAGTAATGTTAGTGGTGGACTGTGGTAATAGTTACCTACTAAAATACTAATATGTGGACTGTTATTCACCCGTATATTAGTCATGAGTCATAACAAATATGTCGTTACACTCATTAGTCATATCTCATAAACCATCGCCATGATACTTTTTCTTTAGTTTTGAACGATGACATCTGGTAACGTAGATTACTATAAAGTGATTATTAAAATAATCATAAATACTCATCAGTATAAATTGTTATCAGATTGTGTCATTTAAATAATTTAGATATGAGTATCGACAGTATCGTGCTTACTTGAATTTTTCGTTTACATTTAGTACAAAATTAATATACCTCTAAATACTGATATTTCCCGGAACCGTAACCTTTATTCTGTAATTGTATAGGATTTGGAACAGAAATTTTTTTTTAAAGACGAAATTGGAATCGAAACTGAAAAAATCATAAAGCTTGAAAAGTTAAAAGCTCTGATTATATATTATTGATTATTTGTTAATTAAAATTACTATTACTTAAATTTTAATTATTGTATTATGCTATTTATTTATTTTATTATTATTTTTTTTTTATGCAAACAAAGGTATAGATATATTCTGTAATTTATGTACAATAATAAGTAAATTTGGTAACTAAAACTAAGATTTAACAACACGAATCATGAGTGAGGGAGGTATACTAGAGTAGTAACCCTTTGACTTGGGAGGAGAGAAGTTTTAGTTATTTAATATAGATCCTGCAGGTTCGAGAGACCTCGACACCAGTGTCTTTTTAATCGACGCGATTGGTTATCTTGGATGTATTCGCTGGCTAAATTAGTTACTAGTGGATTTATGTGGTTAACTGATTTGGTGAGACATTTTTTATATTAATTTTTATCTGTAATAGAGACTGTTTCAATTTTTAGATCTTTGCGTAGTGAGAGGTTTGAGGCATACCATGGCGCAGATATTATGTGGTGAATATAGATTGACTGGAAGGCCTGGATGTTGTATTTGAGAAGGCTTATATTATCCTCTTATTGGATGCCATAGACCCAGATGGGATTTTATTGTTCTTAATCGAGAGTTTGGACTTGAGAATAGGGCGGAATAGACGAAGTCTAGTATTAGGTAACTTTCTATTAGTTTTTAGATGTGGAGCTATTTATTTAACTTAATAAAATATTTACTTTATTGTACTTTTATGCATTTTTACAAGTCATTCAATTCCGTTAACAAGTCCCGGAGAAGATGGTTTCAATTAGTATATAGTTTAATTTTATCTAACTTTAATATAATTATGGTAGCCAATCTGAGACCAATGAACCGCTTTTACTTTCAAATGTTATGTATTATTATTTGACTAAAAAATAACCATAAATTAACCCCCCACCCACCGCTTAACCTACATTGTTTCCATTGCACTGCGATGTATACAATTATTGTAAGGCAGTCAAAGATAAACGGTTCTGAGGGATGTCTTCTGCCTAGTAGCTTTTTTTAATTTTTAAATAAATTTATAAATAAAGATATAATATGAATTAAAAATAAAACTACATTTTCTGATTTTATGTTTACTTCAATTGTTTAAAATTGCATTCAATCGTCATACATACTTATAACTTACTTATATACTTACTTATGATAATGAATATTGATATAAACTAACCTGACCAGTAACCAGCCTATAAGACTTATTGTATAACTTAATTATAAAATATCAGAAAATGAACCCACAATAGTGTTCTATCTAAATAGCATATCTAAAACGCCGTGTGAATGTGTGATCATAATTTTATTGTTTAAATGCAAAATAAAAATTAAAAATCATTAGTTTATTATGATTACTAGAGAATCGATGACAATTGATGTATAATATTCATTCTCAACTACGTGTATTGTAATATTATATATTAGAAGAAATTATTAATTATTTTCTCGGAAAACATCTTGCACGTATTTACATGTACGTGATATTCAAAAAAAAATTCCTGAAAATCAAAAATGTTCACTTTTTTTACAAAACCAACGAAATATTATGTAAATAATATGCATCATGAAATAATTAGGTACGTTGTTATATTCGTCGTTATACGAAACAAACTCGTTACACGGTACTTTATGTTAACCTATTATAAACTTTCAAACATCTGAAGGTAATAAATATATCACACAAATACACGGTCCAAAAATGTAAGACGTTTAGGCCGTATAGCTACGTACGCATAGAAAAAAAATAGTGCAATATACTGGAATAAAAATTTGCTACGAGAGCGTAATATTTTTTTTACCACGAATAATTGTATTTTAAGAACAGATATTTCTATACATTAGTGATTGTGCACAAGGTGTGAATATAAACGAATTCCAAAAGTATTATATGTAAGTATATATAGTACGGCCATGATGGTGGATATCCTTGCAGTGCTATATGTATTGCATCTTCCTTTTGCGTTGGTTTTTCAGGCGGTTTCGTTTCAAACTCACTGCAGCTGTGTAATTATATATTTTACCAATTATTTAGGATTAATGGCGTCCCACGGTTCTAACTTACAATACGTATATAGCACGTGTAGATATATTTTTTCTGTACACAAAATTTATGCCGATATAGGTATGTAACCACGGTATATTTTTGTTGTACAAACTAATGAAATAGATTTTTTTTGTACAACAATTAACGAATAATAATGATCTAAATGAATTCTAAACTAAATCGAAGTATAATTTCAATTATAGATTTCAGTACGTGTATATATATATATGTACGTGGAGAATACTATAGAATTACGGTAGAATTACGCTGTACATTACAACGTTCATGCATACCATGCTCTAGATAACCCCTTCCATTCGGGATGGCTAATATGCCTGCGTACACTGATAACTGTACGCCTGTAAACATATATTATTATTCTTGTTATTTTCATTTATTATACAACGTTTTTCATTCCCTCTTTTTCTTGTAATACCTTGTCATATCCTCTGTAGTCATTGACGAAACATACTATTATCGCCTGTACTCCCACCAATGTAATACTGCATCATGTACGTATATGCTATGCCACAACCGCGACACAGTCGCTTTGCAATTGATTCGCAACAGTGACGGAAGCAGTGGATCCTGAGTTACTGAGTTGATAAATGTGTGTCATAGTACGGTTGATCGTTTGACTTGGCAGTCGCTGTACACGCGAAGGACAAACAATACGCTCCTATTGGTCGTAGTTTTACTGTCGGATTATTGCCTATGGGCTACCGGCTTTATTTTATAAATGTGAGTACCTACTATATATAATATATGTACAGTAATAATATTGTGTTTATATGTATACCGCTGCAGTATATTTTGATGGCTGGAATTTAAACTCGAGACTTATAGACACGTGAGGTAGGACATAATGATATACATTGACATATATACCTAGAGGTACAAGCATTATACTTATACACATCTATAGAAGTATCAATGTGCAT